GATAGTTTGAACTGGCTTCACAGAAGCAAGTAAAGCGATCTTATTGACAAAGCATCTCATGACGAGTATCACCTTGTAGCCCAGAGTGTATTTAGAGGACAGATTTTATTAACATAAATTTGAAAATAGCAAATATCATTCTCTGCTTAGACATTCAAAATTTTTACTGAATTCCACATACTTCAAATTAGGATGGAGCTGAAAGGAAAATATGGAGCTGATATTTTTATTATGTAAACTTAAGACTCTCAGCCTTTTGTATTAGTGAACCATTTGAGCTGTTATCGCTAGGACACCTAAGTGTAGCTATCTAAGATGTAAAGTAGAGATTGAGAATTTCAGCAAATTACAATTTAGAGGGATCTATATCTGACATTGGCTTCAGGTCCAAATCTCAAAAAATACTTGCAAGAGAGTAAGTCAAACTATTCCATGTAATAAAAAAAATCTATGGTCTTATTAGCAGAGGTCCAAATTTATACTATAAAGCCTACCTAAAATTCTAGGCTTTTCTAAAAAATGCTGTACTGCCTACTCATAAAACACTACACATTTCACAATCTACAAAATATTGATATATATATTTATATCTGAAATATAAAACCATTCAAACTGAAAACTTTACAAAGATTTATCACACAGTATACATATTTACCTAATTTTAGAAAAAGACCATATCAACACTGAACTTAGTGTAAGAGTATTTCAAAGGCAGTCTGATGCAGAGGTATGGATGACAGAGCGTAAGCTGTGATATAGATGGCTAAGTTGTCACCTGTATATCAAAGGCACAGCATAGGCTAAGACTATTACAGTTTGTGAGAAGGCTGGTATATTGTAGGACCACCTTGGATCTCATGTTTGTGGTAAATGTCAGTTACTAGTGATGAAATTACTGTTTTCACCCAGAAGGAATTCCGTCCTCCCCCCCAAAAGTAGTTTAAGCTAAAAATCAGGAGTTACCTTAAATCCAGAATAATTTTCCTTTTGGGTTAATACAATCTATGTAGTGCTAGTCAAACCTGGTATAATACAGTCCTAACATGCTACATGCAACTTATTGACTCAACTCACATATTTGGTAGATATTAATAAAATCTATATTTTGGTACATATTTCTTTAAGGTCTTAAGTTTTTGTGAATGCAAAAAAAGTCAGCAATACCCCTCAAATAGCTAAAAACTTTTGCAGTATTATGTAGGTCACTT